TACACGGATTCCCTAGGCTTCTTGCTTGCGGGATTCGAACCCACTTGGATTTGTTTATTGGGGTTTTGGTTTTGTTTTGAATGAAAAAAAAGAAATGAAGGGACCCTTGTGGGCTTCTTGAACAGATTTGAATTGGTGAGCCTGAAAAGTCGGAAAGGTGTAGCGCAACAGCTTGACCTTTGCTAAATTTTTTGCGGCAAAGTGGATTGAGGCCACATGGAGCCAAATTGTGCCGAGAGAAATTAGATTAGACAAATTCGTGGAGTACCCATCATTTAAACTCTGGCTAAAGCGCCGTGTGTTACATCTCCCATGCACGCTAGTGCCAGAGTCACCTATAGTATAATAGGACACTCCGTGACTGAAGGTATATTCTGACGAACTGGCGGTGTGGCACTCTAGCCCGCACTTGGGTTTCCGCATCCGTGCATGCTAGTTGCGCATTCTGTGACAGCAGGAGTAGCTCCATGTCATACGTATTTCGTAGCGGAGGTTCATATCAAACGCCCCTGGGCGACAATCGGTACACAACCATCCTAGAATACATTGTGGGCTAGTAAACCTCTGCCGGACCAAAGAGCAATTCCCATCACCCCAAAATTTGTACAAGCACTGTTCCTACCACCACAGTTTTACCGTACAATGGGTTTTCTGTAGGAGGTCTCAGAATTTAGTTTTGCTTCTTAATGATATGAACTTACTCACCCCTCATCTCTTTGCTTGTCACTGCTACTGTGAACCTTCAGGTCAAAGAGCAGCCTGCCTCCAACCGACCGTAAAGGCAGTGACACGAGCCTTTCAAGTGGCTGCTCCTACAGCCCGTTGCCCCCATCTGTAGTGCCGGACTTGAAGACTCCAGACTTTGAGCAGTTCCGCAGCCCTTTCAAGGACTGCACCATACACAGGAATCCCAGCAAAGGTCTTGCCATGCGATATGGTAAGTACATGCTTCATACTTCGATGTCAATGCCTAAGAAGCACAAAAACTGCCAAAAATTACTCAGAAAAATGTGTTTGCAAAGCTTTAAGCATATTTCTGATGACCATTGAAGCTCTGAGTGGTCTGGTGAGGGCCAATCTTGGGGTGACGAAAAATTCAAGTTCGAGTGCTACATATCGAGTTTTAGACAGTGTCAAATTAACGGAAAAATCAAGGTAGCAATAGCCTTCTGTAACTTCAGTGTGCTTTAAGGGAGGATGGGGGATAAAATTTAGAGACTTTCTGAAAAAAAAATCGCTTTTAGATTTGAGTTGTTTTGGATTGGCGGTGCATTAACGATGCTGAGCATGCTTGGTTGTTTGTGCGGCAGACGACAATAAAAAAATAATTTTTCCTCGAGATGTTGGCGTGGAGGTCTCTTACAAAGTCATGGCTACAAAGTGGGCAAGATGCCGATTGTTAAAAGAACATGAAAGAACAAACTGTTTTTTCACGTATTAGTAAAGCACAGTTTTGCTGTCCTGAAAACACTACTCTTGCCGCGACATGAGGCCTGTTATGCGAGAAAATCTGCGAAAAGAAAATGCGGGTGAAGACGCCACAATGTGTGTGAAATTTTAAAAATGGCACTACAAGCTTAATTTTCACTGCTAATAATAATAATGAACTTATGACAGTCAAACTTAAGGCAACACAGTTCTTAGAGTGCAGTTTGTCAATTTAAATGAAGTCATTGTTTGTTTTTAGTTTAAGCACCCACATCAAATTTACTCATGTCAAGATTTTTGCGTCAACGAGTAGCTATCGACCCCCTAGTAGCGATTCGCGACCTAAAACGCATCTGAGTGATGAATGAGTATCTGTAATAATAATATATTCACTATCGAACGTGGTTCAAAATCGGTGGAAAACCCGCCAAATCGTAGTGCTGGCAGCGCTACCTCGCAGCCACGTCGAGGCCGCTGCACAGCTGATGCCGCTTTCACAAAAAATGGGGACGTCACACTGGCGTTTCGTCTGCTAGGAGCGCACGTACAGTCGGTCCAGCAGTGTCACTGAATGCTTAGACATGCCTCTGTCGCCAACATCGTCATCCTCGCGGTCAACATCGCAAGTGATGATGACAGCGACCTGAAATTGGGTATCGCCGTGATTCGCGACGATTCTTGCTTGACAAGCTCCGCGTTAAATGCTATGTATTTATCAGTCTCGGCCGTTCTGTCGGAGCTCAGGAACACCAACTACACACCTCATATCGTGGATGTTTGGAGAGGGAATGGCTGCTTTCAGCTACAGCAGGGCACACGGTAAAAATAGCCTCGGTTGGAGAAAAGGCCTCATACTGCCAGTGAAACCGAACTGGTTCACCAGCACAGGATTTACCCTGTAGCAACTAGCCACAAAGTGAAGGGAGCAAACGCGGCTGTTCTTCACAGGCGTCCAGCCCCTCTGTTTAACGGCGCATATGAAGTCAACCCACTGGCTGCGTTGGAGTTCGTGTCTTGGAAAGGCATGGAACGCCACGCACTTTCCGCTTTTTCTGCGCCTCGACTCAGGTTCTTACTACGCAGTGGTTCCCTGACATTCTGGCACGTATTGTCGCTCTGAATGATCGTACTCACACGCAGTGGAGCACAACGCAAATCAGTCGATGTGACACGATGAAATGCACGCATGCTTCAACACAGCAAAGATAGTGACTAGGGAGAATATGGCTGGGAGTCTGCTCCAAACACACTCGGAGATCGTCGACGTCATCATTACTAGCGTATTGTTACTCAAGGTGGTATTTGTGGAACGTATCGCACCGAACACGTAGCAGTAGTGTCTATGTCACAGGGCAGTCTATTTTTTGTTTTCTCCTTAGCTTTTCTACGCTGTTTGACGTCGAAGCAAAATAACTTCTACGTGACGGACACCATTCAAAATTGGCCAAGAAGACCTGTGCATACCAAGTGATAGAATGATGGGCACATTTGAATCTTGAAAATTGATGTCAGTGCTCCTTTAAGTGAATGTGTCTGTGTTGGAAAACTTGTTTCCAGTGATTTTAATTTATGGGACACTTTCTGTTGGTGTTGAGCCAGAGGACAATCAAATTAAAAGGACAGAAATTTAGCCTCGCTAACGGAAGAGTCACTTGCTCATTGGTAACGAACCTCGAGTGGTTGGGAACGTATCAAGTGATTACCCACCGCTGCTTTAATGCCAATTCTGAGTAGTTCATGGTGCTTTTGTGTGCTACTTGGCTGATATAGCCGCATTTACTCGATTCTACCGCGCCCTCGATTGTAACGCGCACCCGATTTCCACCACGAAAAAAAAAAAACGTAAGACATCGATTGCGAAGCGCGCACCAATTTTCTCGCTGGCCCGCACGATCACACCACTCGAAAAAACGACTCCTTTCGGGAGCGTCTTCCATTTAAATATGAGGTACGGGCGAAGCTTGTGCACATCTGAGGTGTAACAGAGCATTGCCGTCACTGTAGTTTTACCGTGGACCGATGTCAGCACGCGAACTTGCTTCGCCCCCTTCTTCTCGACGGTTGTGATGCCAGGCATGTCGAAGTAAAGAGGCGTCTGATCGGCATTCCCGATTTGCCCTAGAAGGTAGCCGTTGTTGCGCCGCAAGTTTAGGACGAACCTCTGAAAACTGTGAAGCTTTTCATCGTACTCCTCCGCAAAACTTTTCGCATATGCATGTTCCCCTTCGGAGGGAAAAGCCTTTCCCCTTCATAAAGTTAGTTAGCCAGCACCTGCTCGCTTTAAACTGGCTCCACATTAGACCTTTTTCTAAGACTAATTGCATAGCCCGCACTTGGAGCAAGTTCTGTCGTCACGGGCCGCTGTGCTGCTCGCTGCTCAAGCACATACTCGCCGAGCAGCTCTTCAATTTGCGGAAACCGACCCTGCTGTGGTCCACTGAAGCCTTTGCGTGAAGCTTTGCTGTTGACAATCTTCTGCTTTTGTTTCCCGCCGGTCCCGCATGCACGTTTCGGGAACTCCGAATGATCGCGACTGCGGCCCGATTTCCGTCCGTTTCTGCACATGCGATGACTTTTCTTTTAAAAGCGGCATCGTGGTGCACTCGAGTTTCTGTAGTTGGCCCTTCCACGCCCGTCGATGCTAATGCACTACTAGACGATGAACTCCTCAGCACACGTATGAAGTGCCGCACATGGGGAACACATAGGCAGAAATGGCCGACGCGCCATGCCAACGCACGTAGGGGCGGTCATTTTGGATTTGCCGATGGCAATAGATTGATCGCAATTTTTTTGTTGGTACTCGATTCTAACGAGCATGCAATTTATGAACTCGCTTAACCGGAAAAAAGATGCGCGTTAGATTCGAGTAATTACGGTAATTGCCATGAACTCCATAGAGTTCATTGCAATTAGCGGGGAATCTCTTTTGTGACCAACACTTCTAGTGAGTAACATTCGCACCTCGAAAGCTTCGAAAAATTGAAGATGATTGGATGTGATTGTCACAGAGCAGCAGCCCTAACTACGCAGCAGGTCACTTCAATGATTTTACAACATTCTTTGTCGATTATCAAAAAAATAAAAAATCACTCTTTCTTCTCAGTTCAAAGTATGTTAGGAAAACTATGATTTCCTAATTGTTTTGCCAATAGCTGCATACATACAAGGTTCGGTTCTAGACAATTTTTACAGGATCAAGGTAGGGTACTTTTCTGATCACAAAGTATTTTCAAACACATTAAAAAACTTAGATGTCTGACATCCAGTAACAAGGAACAAAAATCTTCACTCTTTGGATTACACCTTTACAAAAATGTCATAAGAGGCGTGTGACTCTCCTTAGCCTGTACTACAAATTGCATGAAATGGACATAGTTATAAAAAAAGTTGGATATTTTATTATTTTTCAAATGACAGTTCTCCTAAGCTGATATACCTGACCAATCACTATAACAGCTGTTTTTTTTCTAATAATGCTAGGTTGTTAAAATTCAGAGGTAATCTATCTCTTCAATTTTCATCAATGTTTGTTAAGCAGTTGAATTATTGACTTCAGCTCTGCAGAGCCCGTTAATTATGTACTCAAATCTTACTACAACAAAGTGTCATGCTGCACAAAAATAAGTTTGTGATATATAAAAATTCGTTCTAAAGGTGCATTCCTTACACTCTTTATATACCAAGTTTACTCTTAATTTGTTTCATCATAACTGATACTTCATAATGCCATTGTTCGAGTTTTGAGTGTAGTTGACCTCTATCGACTTTCAATTGGTGACAGAGCCATATTGCTAAGCCTTTAAGGCAGTCTTTATGAAAGACTATCCATAACTGGGTATGAAACGAGACTCTTGTGTGGTTTTCATCCCTCCATTCAGATGACAGCTCTTCAGAGCTCGATTCTCCGGTAAGCGCTACGATCGACGTCAAGAAAACGGTGGCCTTCCCGATCCCCGACACGCCAGCGCATTACAGTGAGTACTCCGTGAGGACCTCGTAGTGTCAGTTTTTCATGTGCTGCTGTTTCTGGCTGTTCCAAATTAAGGCGTGAGCACGGCCAGGCGATTAAATTTGTTTTTGGGACACAAAGTTCTTGATAATAAAAAAAAGCCACAAGAAATAAGGGCGAGGTGCAAGTGTTAGTCTCGATAATGCCAGTACTTGAGAGCGATAAAACTGTCCTGTGCGATCAAGACGTCCTTCAAAACAGTACTGCTCTGATGTCTCCTGTGTAACTCCGCCAAAAAATAGTTTTGGACTGGGAACATGAAGCTGACTGACTCCTGGTTTGACTTGTGTGGTTTTACTCTGGCACAACCATGAGAGCAATTGGTCCGAAATGGGAACCTTGCAAGGAGTGTATAATTTTTCATATTATGGCGTTTCACAGGCAGTCATAAAAATTAAGGGCATCTTAGTGCTTTTATTCATGTCGCTATAGTTATCTCTCATGGAAATAAATGTATAGGCATGTATCATGTCCAGGTCTGTTGTTAGTTTTCTGCCATGACTGCGGATAATCTCGGTAATGTTCAGCACTATTGCAAAAGTGTAAAAAACTGTAATTGGCTCTGAACCTTTCGAATGAGGTTTTTAATTTGGGTACAAGAGTATTAACAAAGGAGAGAGCCACTGTGAAGGGAACTCAGATGACCTACACAGCATTTTCTTCAACCACATCATGTTCAACACCATAAAGTCAGTACCCCCCTCCCCCCTAATTGAGCTGTTTTCACGTCGGGTTTTTCCTCCACACCCTCAAACTCTTGGTATAGCCTACGAATTTTGAATAAATTTAATGCACATTATTTCGAATTACAAAAAATGCGGGTACAATGAGCACTATAGGTGGTGCTAGCAGGCGGCACGGTGGGGCTGGAGCTTTTCCAGTGGTGCAGCTGTTATCCAGTCTCGGTGTCTTGTGGCGAAAGCTATTGACCCGAGGGCATTATGACTAGACTGCTTCAGTAGTTTCATTCCTAGCAGGCAGTGTTGCTTTGCTTCAGCAGCAGTTAGCAACTTTGATTGTAAGAGCGCAGTTAAAAGCGCTGTTGTGCACACACCTTTTCGGCGGGCGTAGCAAGAGGCTAGTATACCCTTTTACATGCTGTACTCCTGCCATTTATGTACTTCATGTTGAGATGACGCACCACAAAAAACTTCTTTGTGCCCTGGTGCAGCCGTATTCCCTTAAACGATTGCTTTGTGGAAATAAAACAATCTATTCAAAATAAGTTCACTGCCATGTCTTAATTCTTATAACGTCATGATTTGTTGCGACCGCATTCATTGCTTCACCCTTGTAGTGTTGGCGGGTTTTCATTAGATGTGTTGTTTATATGCAAGAAAAATATAGTAGTTACTTAACTAGGTTATACTATTATACTATATTCACTTGCAGCTGGCACACCTGAACTGAGTGACAGCCCTGAGGTGTTCACACTTCCCGTCAATGTGAACATGAGGCGGAAGCGTGCAACAAGGAATGTGTCTCCTCTTGTTCTACCGGAATTGTTGCCGCAACACCTTACGGAGTATGTCTAAAATCTTTTGCTTTGGCATCCAATGATTATATATATATAAATATGAAAGTAGATGCGCTTTCACATAACAACTGTTTATTGTGCCGACGTTTCGACGGGAACCCCGTCTTTTTCAAGGCATAATGCTATTAACACATGTTCCGTGTCTTCTTATAGCCTGTCGAGGCAGGAGGGAAGGGGTCAAAAGAAAAGTAAAAAAAGGGGGAAAAAACAAAGAAAAGAGAGAGAGAAAAAAAAGAAGAAAAAACAGCGAAACGGGAGGACAATTATTAAATAAAATATAGAAAATCTAGGAGAAGAAGCAAGACCGACACGGCGTAATTAGAAAGGGGCCACATCTCAACAGTCTGTTGTTAGTTTTCTGCCATGACTGCGGATAATCTCGGTAATGTTCAGCACTATTGCAAAAGTGTAAAAAACTGTGATTGGCTCTGAACCTTTGAACCTCTGAACCCCTGAACCTAGGAATGAAACTACTGAAGCAGTCTAGTCATAATGCCCTCGGGTCAATAGCTTTCGCCACAAGACACCGAGACTGGATAACAGCTGCACCACTGGAAAAGCTCCAGCCCCACCGTGCCGCCTGCTGGCACCACCTATAGTACTCATTGTACCCGCACTTTTTGTAATTCGAACCTTTCCTTGTGTTGTATACAGACGGCCAAAAAATATAAAGGATCATTTAATAAATTCAAAGATAGGTGTGAAACCTCAAATTGGGTGTCACCCTTGCGGAAAAAGCAGATGCAAGGTATGCAAACACATGCAGACAACGACAGTGGCGAAAAGCACCCACTCGGATTTTAAGCACAGGATAAGAGGTGCACTAGACTGTGACTCGGACAACGTCATATACCTCCTGGAATGAGGGGTATGTAAAAAGCAATACGTGGGCCAGACAGACACTCCGTTTAGAATTAGATTCAACAACCATCGGCCACATGTACGATCTCTGCCAGGCCTTCCACTTTCAAAACACTGCACATTAAAAGACCACAGCTTTAATGACATCAGGGTTACACTACTAGAAAACAACTTTCGAACAATCAGAGAACGGGAACAATGGGAATCTTATTTTATCTACAAATTTAACACGATAAAATCCGGAATAAATGAACACCCAGGCACTCTGTCAGCGTTACGACCGCTAAAAGACGCAAACGCTTCTCTCTAATCAGTCCGGTTTCATTACGACAATAATATTACCCGCTAACAAAGCTTTTGGCCTATGCATCTGACAACACAGAAATGATTTGCCTCATTAAGCACAGCCGCAACGCACAGATAAGTGGTCCCGGATGTCTTACGCCCCCCCCCCCCTTTTTTCTTTTTTTTTCTTTTTCTTCTTTAAGTTTTAATGCACATTCTGTTCCTTAACTGACAAGGAGCTGACAGCTAGGTGCTTTCGTTGACTTTTTCATACATGCGCGCATGTCTTCCCAGTGAGCCGCAACTGTGTGGTGACTGTCCCGGATGTCCTACAGTCTCCCCCCCCCCCTGTTCTTTTTTTTTCCTTCTTTAATTTTTAACACACATTCTGTTCCTTCACTGACAAGGAGCCATTGCATATAATGAATATAGATGGCGCTGCCTCAATCACCGGCTTTTTCATTCCTCCCGACGCCACGAGCACGCACTCGAAGCACTTAAGCCCTCCCCATTAAGTTGTCCTAAACTTCAAAGAGGAACGAGCCGCCAGCGGACTACACGGAAAGGTGAAATACAGGAACGGCGGCTCAATGCCCACTTGGGAAAGAGAGGGTGCGGGGAGGTATTGTTGATAATGATGACATTGCTCATCTACCTCTGCCCTACTCTGTTGAGATGCGGCCCCTTTCTAATTACGCCGTGTCGGTCTTGCTTCTTCTCCTAGATTTTCTATATTTTATTTAATGTTTGTCCTCCCGTTTCGCTGTTTCTTCTTCTCTTTTTTTTCTCTCTCTCTCTTTTCTTTATTTTTCCCCCATTTTTTACTTTTCTTTTGACCCCTTCCCTCCTGTCTCGACAGGCTATAAGAAGACACGGAACATGTGTAAATAGCATTATGCCTTGAAAAAGACGGGGTTCCCGTCGAAACGTCGGCACAATAAACAGTTGTTATGTGAAAGCGCATCTACTTTCATATTTATAACCTTGCGGCAACCGAAGTTATATATATATATATATATATATATATATATAGGAAAGAAGTGTATACTTAAGGGCTCGTTTTTCAGTGTTTTACACAATATTATAGAGATATAACAGACAATAATGCCAAGGAAAGTATAGGGGAAGATATTAGACCGAATTTTAATGTAAATATAAAGAAATGTGGGTGAAAAAATGTATATACCTATATATAATATTTTATGTATATATACATATGTATATATAATATTTTATGTATGTATATATATATATATGTATATATATATATATATATATACATACATACACATATATATATATAATGTGTGTGTGTTGTATGAATATTGCGTGCGTTGGTAAGTTTTAGTTGGTTAGGGAAGTTTTTTTCTGTGACAGCCGAGAAAATGACTAGTTGCGAAATGAGTGTGCAATGCCTTTGCATGCTATGAAGTATTTCGAGAGCTTGAGGGGATTTGAGAGTGCAGTTGCAAACATTCTAAAATCCAAATGGTTAGCACGCGTACACACACACACACTTGTTAACATTTGAGAGAAGAGGTGTAGTTAAGACATTATTCTGTAAAGATAAACTGCTTTATTGTGGCTGGGACAGGACGTCAGAGCATAAGTGGACAGGATGAACACAGATCGATTTGGAAAGCAAGAGAAGACAATTACCTGTTTGTAGCAGGAAGCCACAAGGAAATCCTTGTGTCCATATGCTTCGAGTTGTCGATGAATTCGCTCTCACGGTGCCAATTGCTAGCTTCCTGGAAGAGCGACCGCCCCGTAAAGGTGTTGGTCCCGAGTGCGAATCTCGCACCAGGACGAATTTTTGTAAGAACTAAGAAGCTTTTCTTTCTGACAAATCCTTACGGATTTTCTTATAGCTTCATGCTGCAAATGGGTGATTGTCTTTTTCCCCTTCTTAATCCCTCCGCCAACTTGCGGGTTTCCGCAGAACTCATCTGTAACAGACTGATTTATTGAAATTACACCAACTTGCCTCCTGTAACAGTGCACGTCCTCAATAAGTCATGACCTCGTGTTGACAGAATGCTCCGTGAAGGCCCCTGTGTACTTTTAAAACCAGCAGGTGTTCAGTGTACAAATAGCTTCTTAGAAATAGGACTCAACGACTATGTGCCTGCCGCTCTCTCTGCTGGCTTTCTAGAAAATGGTAAGGTGGCGAGCGGTGATGCGGCGGGGACATTCGACGGTGTACATGAAAGGGATCGCATGTGCACAAGAGAGATCCAGTGCGAGAGTAGCCTTTCCTCGATGAGATTCAGCCTCGGCAATTATTGCGGTTTTGGCGAGTAGCAGAATCGTTTGTTACTCCAAAAGCCGGCACGTTGCCGAGCATGTGATCTCTTGCACGTCCCGCGCAATTCAAACTCGGCGTGGTCGTCGGCACTGGGAAATGTTTTTTTGAACACTCGGACTGCGTGTTCAGTTCGTGTTTTGTCTCATTGCAAGGAATCATCGATGCGAGACAGATTGTTCTTGAATCGAAGTCTATCGTGTACGCGGCCACTGTGTCCAGAAGTGCACTCGATAAAGTCTCGTTCGTAACTGCAGTCAGCACCGATGTTGAGGTGCTGTGGCCCATTTTGTTATTTTACAGTATGTTGACGTGCTTGGTGTGCCTGCATTCTTGGATAATGGCCTGCATCTCTTTTGTCTGAAACAAGCGTGTCACAATCCGCGCACGTTTGCACAGGTCTTCATTATACAGACGATGAGCCCGATGACAAAGGCTTTTTTTGTGCGATTTCGGGGAAGTGCCCTGCAGACTTGCGCTTTTTTCGTGTACAATGGCATTAGAGCACTGAAGTTCACGTAAAGAGAGTGTCTGCTGCGCATGGTGGCGGGAACCATTGAATAAGTGAGTGCACGCGCCATCTGCCGCCGCGCCCGCGCAGCAGCTGTTTAGCTTGGCACGCTTGCCTGGTCTTAAGAGCTTCGCTTGGTGGTGACGTTGAAGTGCCGGGCTAAAGAGCTTCGTGCCTAAAAATGATCAAGCTCTTTCTTTGCATAAAACACTCCACTCTTCCCTGCAGAATGGGAGTGGTGTGTGGCCGAACGACCTATGTGTGGCAGACCGGGTTATCTATTAAGCATTTAATAGAGCATTCCAGCTCACTAGGAGGTGAGTGGGAAGCACCTGCTGTTTAATTGTAGGACATGTGCCAAGAAGTAGAAGCCAGTTTTAATGTGATAACTTTGGAGAGCTCATTTTGCAGAAATCAGGACATCGGAGTCATTTGTTGAGAGTGAAAAATCACTTTATCCGTGACCGAAAGAATAAGATGCAAATAAAATATTTCAGGGTCCAAGTGGCGAGCGATGCTGTCTGCATGGCAAGCAAGTGTTGTACCACAGAGTCGCAATATTTGTCAGAATAGCCTCGGGGGAAAAAAAAAGCACTATATCAGTGCTTACGCTTCATAGAGCTTACGCTTCATATATTGCGTGGCAGAAGCATACAGTCTCGCCAGGCATCAAAATATGTGAATTTAGCAAAAAGTGGGTGCTCTAAAAGGCCACCCATTATAAGGTCCTCGGACATATTTAACCATAATCAGCAGCAGAATCATCAACAAAGTGAATAGCTGGGTAGGTTCGTGTGTTGCCCTACGGACACGTAGGGGGCCCTCCGCTGATTCACAAAGTAATTATGGCCTAGGGGCACTTAACAGTGGGGCTTGTAACAGGCATTCATCGATGCTTTGAAACGACCAATGTTACGCACACAGCCATTTGGGAAAGGGAAGGAGGTCTCGAATTTCTCGTTACAATTCGCCGTCGCTCCACCTAAACCATTCTGACACTCTGGGTCGGACATATTCTGTGTTCAGAAGACTACTTAAAAGGAGTGGCCTGTCTGCTGTGCTTGCTGTTCTCCTTCTGGATCGATCTGTGTAAATACACTAGCAAATAGTTATGTTTCATCTCGTTTTACATCACAGTATCGTGGTTCGTTGGCGTAAAACCACAAGTAATAACTGAATGGTGGCAGAAATCCATCCTTATTTGTGGTGTGGTGTACATTGGTGTGCAAGAGTCTTCTTCAAGTTTCAGTTTGCAGTCCACACTTTCGTTTTTCTCGTTGCAGGAGATTAGAACAGGAGCCTGAAAGTGACAAAAGTGATGAATCGAACGACAAAGATGATGAATCAGACGAGTCTGACTATGGCGAGGACACGGGGGGCGCCACAGAAATCCCCAGTGCTCGAGCACCGGCAGTGCCGCTTTTCCCGAGCCCGGACTTGGCAGCCTACAGGCGCATCATCCACGAGGAGATGGCCAGGTGTTACGGTGCACACATAGTGTCACCTGTCTCAACAGCTGATTCTCCGGCAAGCACAGGTGAGCATACTAGTACCGTAAAAACCCGCGTATAGCCCGGGGTTTTTTTTTCTAAAATTTAGGGTGCGAAATTTCAGCCCCGTACTATATGCGGATCCCAAAAAAAGTTTCGGCCCGAATTCAGTTTTGGTTTCGGCATTGGTTGGTGCTATCATCATTATCAGGTGTCTGCGCACTTCTACGTTAGGTGGCGTGGTAGCGTGAGCGGCGTTAGTCCTAGAGACCTACAGGTACAGGCGTGCATCAGGCGAGCAACAGTGGCCATTGCAATCACTTGGCGCACATCACGACGGCCACGATTTTACGTGATTTTAAGCCATGTCGGGACCGCGCAGGCAGTACTCGGCTGCCTTTAAGAGGAAAGTTATTTCTGCTGCCGAAACCATCGGCAACTGTGCCGCGGAGCGGCAGTTCGGCGTGAATGAGCGGAGCATTCGCGGTTGGCGGAAGCAGAAGGAAGCCCTTTTTGCATGCTGCGGCAAGAGAAAAGTTTCCGGGGACCGAAAAATGGAGAATTTCCAGACGTGGAACGAGAACCGACGGACTTTGTTCGGGAGCAACGAGCTGCACAACTCGCTGTGCACATCGAGCTGCTGCAGGCAAAGGCAAGGGAGATCGCTCGAGACAAAGGCATTCCTGCCTGCGGACTTCAAGGCAAGCAAGCATTGGGTGTCTCGCTTCCTGCGCCGCGCTGGGTTCTCCCTACGTCGGCGTACGTCGGTCTCGCAGAAGCTGCCAGAAAGCTACGAAGAGCTGCTTGTCGCCTTTCAGAAGCACGTGATTTCTTTGCGAAAGGCAGTCCCCTTTCAGCTGGGCCAGATCGGCAATGCTGACCAGACGCCCGTGTACCTGGATATGCCCTCGGCTCTAACGGTGCATCAAAAAGGCTCCAGGCAAGTTACCGTGCGATCAACTGGAAACGAGAAAATGCAGGTAACTGTAATGCTGTCCTGCACGGCAGACGGGCGCAAGCTGCCACCCTACGTGGTGTTTAAACGAAAGACGCTGCCGAAAGGGGAGACGTTCCCAAAAAATATTGTCGTCCGCTGCCAGGACAAGGGGTGGATGGACGAGTCACTGGTGTTGGACTGGATCAAGTCTGTGTGGTGTCGACGGCCCGGAGCACTGCTGGGGCTCCCATCGATGCTTGTGCTCGACGCGTTTCGGTGTCACCTGGCGGACTCCGTGAAGCGACTGCTGCGCGACTCCCGCACCGAGCTCGTCGTCATCCCGGGCGGGATGACAGTCCCAGCTACAGCCACTTGATGTGTGCCTTAATAAACCGTTTAAGGGCCACATCAGGCGCCTGTATATGGAGTGGATGAGGGCCGGAGAGCCAGAAGTGACCCCTGCCGGACGGCTGAAACGGGCCTCGCCAGCTCTGCTCTGCTCGTGGATCGCCGAGGTGTGGGCCCGCATTCCCGAGGCGCTCGTTTGCCGTGCCTTCAAGAAGTGCTCCATCTCAAACGCGCTTGATGGCACGGAGGATGAGGTGCTGTGGGAGGACATTTCGAACAAGGGAGATTCGAAAGACAGTGTGTCAGACAAAGACGACGACTAATCGTGCGCGCGCGTGCGTGCGCATGCAAGTGTGTAAATAAATGCATTTTTTCTGTTTTCCTCTAACAATATTCGCGTGAAAATGTTTTTTCTCGCGTTTGCTATCCCCCAGTTACACCTCGAACTATACGCGGGTTTTTACGGTAATTATAGACTGTGATGGACACTGTGGAACAGTTTAACCTCCACTATAACGGAATCGTCTGTATAACAAACTACAGAAGGCTTTCAGTAAACGGGAAATCTGTTGAATGGAACTGCTGCTTATTAAATGAAACTGCCTCTGGTATAATTGGTCTCGTACTTGAATTCTACACGCTTGTTTGTCGCTCGGTAAATGGAACTCTTGTTAAACGGAATATCCTGGTACCTTTAGGTGTGTTTGATAAGCTTCCTGTAACATGCTGCCGATATGAAAGACTGTGTTTTCGAGTAGTGGAGTTTGCAGGCCTTGCTGCCAGAGGAATACATAGAACAGCGTTTTTTTGTTTTTTTTCAGCTGCACTATAGCAAGCATACGCACAACTGAAAAGGAAAGCAACTGCGCATTTTGCAATAGAAGTTTAACTCTGTGAGGGTCAAATTTTTTGTGACATAACCTCCAAAGATGTTTATTTTTTTATTCTTGAACTAAATTTTTGGGCTATTCTATCTTTTAAAATAATTCTCATTGTTTTGAGGGACCATAAAGCATCAAGCAAAATCCTAGAAAAGAAACTCTTATGATTTTTTTAGAACTACCGTAATTACTCGAACCTAACGCGCACCTTTTTTCCCAATTAAGTGAGTTCATAAATCGCATGCGCGTTGGAATCGAGTACGAAAAAAAAATGAATACGGTCATTCTATTGCCATCGACATTTCCAAAATGGCCGCCCCCTTCGTGCGTCGGCATGGCGCGTCGGCCATTTCTGTCCTATGTGTTTCCCATGTGCAGCACTTCGTACCTGTGCTGAGGAGTTCGTCATCTTGTAGTGCATTAGCATCGACGGCATGGAAGGGCCGAGTCCAAAAACTCGAGTGCACTACGATGCCGCTTTTAAAAGAACGTCATCGCGTGTGCAGAAACGGACGGAAATCGGGCCGCATCGCGGTCGTTCAGAGTTCCCGAAACGTGCGTGGGGGACTGGCGGAAACAAAAGCAGAAGATTGTCGACTGCAAAGCTTCACGCAAAGGCTCCAGTGGACCACTGCAGGGTCTGTTTCCACAAATTGAAGAACTGCTCAGCGAGTATGTGCTTGAGCAGCGAGCGGCACAGCGGCCCGTTACGATAGAACTGCTCCAAGTGCGAGCTATGCAATTAGCCTTAGAAGAAGGTCTAACGCGGAGCCAGTTCAAAGCGAGCGGGTGCTGGCTAACTAACTTTATGAAGAGGAAAGGCTTCTCCCTCCGAAGGTGAACGGGCATATGCGAAAAGTTTTGCGGAGGATTACGATGAAAAGCTTCACAGTTTTCAGAGGTTCGTCCTAAACTTGCAGCACAACAACGGCTACCTGCTTGGGCAAATCGGGAATGTCGATCAGACGCCTCTTTACTTCGACATGCCTGGCACCACAACCGTCGAGAAGAATGGGGCGAAGCAAGTTTGCGTGCTGACATTGGTCCACGGTAAAACTACAGTGACGGCAATGCTCTGTTACACGTCAGATGGGCACAAGCTTGCCCCGTACCTCATATTTAAAAGGAAGACGCTCCCGAAAGGAGTTGTTTTTTTCGAGTGGTGTGATAGTTCGGGCCAGCGAGAAAAATGGGTGCGCGTAGCAATTGATGTCTTACTTTTTTTTTTCGTTGTGGAAATCGGGTGCGCGTTACAATCAAGGGTGCGGTAGAATCGAGTAAGTACGTAAGTTACTTTTGATAAACATAGCTTGCAAACATACAAAAATAGGCACACCAGAGTACTTTTTTGCTGGACTCGCAAGCAGCAAATAAACTGGCGCACTCTTTAATAGCGTAAGTGAAGTGAGTAAAAGTGCGGGAAAAAATCCTTATCGTCATGCACCTATAAAAAAAGGAGAACAAGTGAAAAAGGTAAAATAATTATTCGTCTTAATGGCAACAAGAGAGAGTTAGCGTTTCAGAGTCGCCAAAACAGGAAACACAACCAGGGCGGCATTGTTCGTGTAATGTAGCGCCTCATAAAAACAGATGTAATTGCGCTCTGGGAAGCAATAAAGGAGAAAGTAAAACACACAGCCGTCAGTTTTGTGGGCGCAAGAAGCGAAAAGCACCCGAACGATGAAACCAAACCAGCTGCACTGCTAGAGGCACGCTCGGATGCGCAAGCAAAAGCCCATGCAATGCCATACACTTACGACGTAAACCCTGAAAGAATAAATGTATTAGTTGCAGAACTTGCTACTTTCCTCACTAGCCGTCAAGACAGCTCTTACTCATGAAACGTTAGTTCGGAGGCCCTAGTGGGAAAACGGTAGAAGCCAGTGTGCTGTGTGATGTCGGTGCGTGTTAAGAAACATCATATGGTCAAAATTTTTGGAGCCCTTTACAGCGACATGTCTCGTAACCATATCGTGGTTTTGGGACGTAAAACCACAGGTATACTTTATTGCTGGCCCCAGTGACATTGAAACATCTTTGGTGTTCCTGCTCCCAAGCTCTTGTGATCTGCTCACAAGTTCTTGTGATATTTTGTATGTTACTGTCACTGATTCTGTGTATAAGGAGGCAATCGCCCGACAGGTACCAAGGGCCAACAAAAACCGGCCCCTTCTACATGCACTACAAAAGCGCAGACAATTTAGGGTAGGCTCTTTTTGGGCAGCAACGAATGATGGTTGTTGTCCAAAGACATTCAGAGCAGGGAGTTCCTAACGCAAAGTATAATCTGGGTTAAGGCTGCAAGCATCACACGAACCTACACACTCGGTTATCAAAAACAGTTACTCATAACTCGCAGTGTAACTCGGATGGTGTTTAAAACAACGGAAACAAACTGATCGCACTACATATGCAATCTCCTGCATTGAAGAACACTGTCTTGACCATTTGCATAATGTATCCAGCCCACAATTCTTGAGACGTATCTCGAATGTTTCCCTTTCACGAAACATTCTCACAAACTCCAGTGCTGATAGTCGTTGTTCCCTTCCGCTATCGGCCTGTTGGCGACGCTTCTCAATTTTTCACTGTTTTCTCAGAGTCATCATTCTATTCTTTCAGATTGATTGACCACCCTACCAGAATCGCTTGATCAACATAACTTCTTCATTGGTGTCGCTATCCTGCTCACCTACTCCCTCCGCCACCGCATGCTTTTATCCTCTCGCTTCTGGATTTGCAAATACACTCAAACCTGGATACAATGAAATATCGGTTATAGCGAAGTAAATGAAGGATATTCTTGCAATAGAAATAGTGCTAAGAATGTACCTTTATAACAAATTTTTGGTTATAACTAACCTGTTTTCATGTAAGATGCCTCTTTGTTATAATGAGGTTGAGTGTATTTTCCGTGATTTGTCTGTACGTAGCACAGGCAAAGCGAAGGAAAGGGCAAGATTTTGCAACGAAAGGTGTTACAAGATCACAACAAGGGTAGCGCGCGCCGCCACCGCTTGTGTCCATAACCACTATTGTGCTGAAGAAGGAAAAACACTCTGTAAATTAAAAGACAAGGGCATAGTAGAATTCGTACCAGGGTACCCTGCGTGCCAGTGCAGTAGTCTACCACAGAGCCACGCTGCTGCTTGGAACTTTGTTGCAAACTAGCTTTAGGCAGACTTGATGTCGGGCAAGGAATGGCGTTAATATGAATAATAAAGTGCTTCAGAACCAGGCGTCTCAGAATGTGAATTGCGTAACAAGTGAGATGTCGGTTGCTCCAACCCATTACTCAAGCTTCAGGCATAATACTTTATCATCGTCAGTCACAGCATCAGAAAATTGCACAAAATTTTTTGCAAGTGCGTAGTGGGTACCAATCTTCTCCGATGAAGCATAGGAATCTTTGTTTTTTTTTGTTTTTGAATATACTGTCTTCATTTTACAACTTTTTTTTTGTTGTAAGCAATAGTGCAGTTATAGCCCATATGAGACTATATGTTCTCTTAAATGATCCCCCAGAGTAGGTATGAGCCATGGATTCTAGGCTACAAACAAACAAATTCCTGACCGCTTTTTCACAGTGATGATTGATTGATTTGTAGGGTTTAACGTCCCAAAACCATCATATGATTATGAGAGACGCCGTAGTGGAGGGCTCCGGAAATTTCGACCACCTGGGGTTCTTTAACGTGCACCCAAATCTGAGCACACGGGCCTACAACATTTCCGCCTTCATCGGAAATGCAGCCGCTGCAGCCGGGATTTGAACCCGCGACCTGCGGGTCAGCAGCCGAGTACCTTAGCCACTAGACCACCGCGGCGGGGCGCTTTTCCACAGTGGGTATGAGCTGCAAGAGAAAGTGAACAAGAATGCCGGCCTACTACACAAAATTTATAGGGTGGTGGGTATTCTGTAAGTGGGTTTGCAGCAGCTACTCAAGGATTGTTTATAAAAAGCTCTTAATGGCCACTCTTCTAGCTTTCGGTGTGACTGTGCTGCGCATTTCGCACAGGCCTGGTGTTTTTTTTTCCTCGCTGGTTTCATTTATTATCGCATAGCTCGGCTTTGTATCGGGCTTCCTTTCACAGTGCTTCGAGACTTTGCCCGGAGTTTGATCAGAGACTGCTTTTGGTCACCTGCCGTTACGAGGGGCAGAGAAGGCGTACTCATGGCATCCTTTGATGGTTACCCTATTTTTTTTTTTAGTGTGTCGCGATGAACCGATGAACCGTCAGCGCCTGGACTTCACTCGGCCGTCTGAAGTCAGCAATGCGTGCCTAATTGAGCACCCGTTTGTAAGTTTCCAGTTGACAGATCTCATAGTTTGGTCATGTATGGTGGAAGGTCTCGGCTGCGAAAAGCATCCAGACTCCTGGACATGAAAGCCTCATCCTTTGGCATGACTTGCGATGATTTACCGCTCCAGCCATTACTGAACAGTGCTGCACCAGCCATTACAAAACTCCAAACTTGCGTCGTGCTGTGCAGTACTTGCTTCTTCGGCGCAGAGAATGGCAGCCTTCTTGAGCACTGTTGTGAACGAGTGCAGTTTTTTCATGATGGTCAAGCTCGACTGTTGGGAACATCGGTAGCACACAACAGCTGAATGAAAACATGCGAGAGCCAGTGGCGCTTCCGACAATTATTACCAGTACCCCTCAAACAAATGGCCACTGCCTATTAGTACAGTGGCTCTTCAATCAACGGTTGCATTAATTGTGACATCTGTGATCGTCATTTATCAACCTCATGGTGTCTGTATGAACTCAGTGGCATGTAATAAAACTTACTGAGACGTTTTAAAAGAGCTGCAGAACAGAATCCAATGAGTAAGCCAGAAAGCAAATTTTATGTTGAAAGCACACTGCAGTATCCAATGGCGCGTTTCACTGGTAGATCCAGAGCAGGTTTTCTTGCTCCGTTGCGACTAATCTGGATTTCGCTGGTAGATTTGGAGTGGGTTCGCTCTTTTTAATGGCAGTTTCAGAGCAACTCGCCCGGAGGCGGTCTTGCTCTCGCTGCTCCCCCGTCAAGTTAGATTTGGGCGGAAGTTCGAGGAGCAGCGTACGTCACTTCCGCCATTGTGCATGGGCTGAGCATTGCAAAATGGCTGCGTTCACTGCTGTGAAGGAACTGCGGTCTAGCGATAAGCACGCCCAGCAGCAGCAGGCGCACAGCCACAGAAATCTCCGTGTGCTTTTTTACATTTTTCAGTGCAGCACAAGAAAACGATACCCCTGCTTTCCGTGAACAGTGTGGTCGAAATGCATGCTCTGCAGAGGCGACAAGTTTGCCATGGAAACATAGAAAGCTGAAAAGGGAATCATTACCGGAACTGGTTTAGTGACCTGTACGTAAACAACTTGCGAAACGACCTCCGCGGTGCACTCACGTGTTTCACTGGCAGATTTGGCTTGGTGCAATCCAAGGGCTCGCTCCAGGATTTCTGTGGCTATTCCAGGTCTCCTAGTGAAAAACGCTTTTAGGTTTGTGATTAGTCTTGTTGTTGCTAGCGTTCGATGTTTCGAGTTCCAAAAATTGACTCTGCATCTTCATATGTAAAGTTTAAATCTCGTAAGTCAACAACATGCAGTCGCATAAACATGGTAAATACAGTTTATTTGAGACTTCACTTCAAGTTTCAACTGTATGGGCCCACTTTCATATTTTAATGCTTGCCAGCTGGATTGGGCTCAAATGGCCAAATGTCGTAAAGTTACAGTTCAACATAATGGCTATGCAGACGCTGCATGTGCAGTGAAAAGATTTTTTGTTTTTTTTTGTCTGCCATTTTTTCTAAATACATTTTCACAGTGCCTCTGGCAAATAACAGCTGCACTGTTGTCCCCTTTTTTACTACTCTTTTCAGTGTCAGGAGTGTCGACTGGCGGCCACATTGCCTCATCTCCAGCTGTGGAGACTAGCCCTGCGTCCTCGCCGTCGACACTGGCCACTGCCTTCGCGGGATTGTCGGCACAGCCAAGGCTGAGCCCGATTCTGAAGTTGTCGTCGCAACAAAAGGGCCGCCTGAGTACTGTCTTGGAGTGCACGGAGACAAGCGACAAAGGGAGTGGGACAACTGCACTCGTGAGTTGTGTTTTTTGTGTGCCACAGTTGTATTCTTTTTGATGATCTCTTTTGAAGTAGTCTGCATGCGTCAAGTGCTTATCAAAAGTAGTTGCTCAGAGGAGCCCGACAGCCTGCCAAACACGCAGTACCAGTGCGTCTTTAAAGCTTTTATACACATCCTAGCATGATGGCGAACCCGAGCACTTTCTTTGCAGCCTGTTCATTGGTAGGCATCTAGCAATGTCCACAATACACTAGTATTGCAATGTCCACAGTAGTCGTAGTATTAGACTTGCGGTAGAATGCAAGTGATGCCCTGATATATACGTTATGTTTTATTAAAACTTCCTGTACTTTGAGTGCATCAGTTGGTATAGGAAGCTCTTACGCTTGAAAAATGGTGAATCGACTACAAAGCAATATGTTCATTTATCGTTAAAGTGGGGCTTTGCGGCAGTGTGGATTTTTTTCTGGATAGGTGTTTCACGGCTTAGCCTTATCTTTTCAGGGAGTTACATGCAGTTGATACTAAGGCTGGGCAGAGATACCCGAAAAAGTGTTCCGGAATACAGATATTGAAATACACAGTGTGGAAGCCTAAAATACAGATACTGAGATACATTTGTAATTGACGTAATGGGATATTTCAGAGATAGTTTTGCAAAAACTGAAATACTTTTCTCTATGTCGGGGATAGTCATACTTCGTACAGAGATTAGTCATGTGCAGCAGAGTATTTTAAGTGCGTAGTGCATTGAAACTTGCAATTATTTTTACTCATTATTTTATCACCGTAGTCCGAGTTCCATTAACGCATTACAAAGAGGCCTACACTGCACATAATTGTTAATAATGACATATTTACAGATATCAGTTGCAATAAAGAACTACGTATGCTGTATGAAAGCAAGTCAAATGCATTGTACACCGAAATCTGGATACTTGGTGGCAACACTATTAGCTATGCTAGAAGTAGCATAGTTCAAGCGAAGGGCTGGAACCATTAACAAACGAATCGAGAAAAGCTATTTAACACAAGTCTGTTTAGTTTAAACATTTGGCGCGTCAATTGCACTTCAGCAGCAGTAGCTTCTCAGATAGGCCGTCATCTAGACATCGTCGATTCGGCCTCAACACAAGACTCACGAACGAGAAGTCACTCTATTGCTGCAGAGGAGCACAAACTTGTGTTATAGTGGATACAATTCACATCGATACTCTGACCACAGTGAGCGTGGTGCGTCAGCAAACAGTGCCTAAAATGCAGAGCCAGTGTCGTCAGAGTGGGACCGCCACCTTAACGTAAGTATTTTGCCCGTTAGAGTTTTGAAATTGTAACGAGTACATTACTGAGTTACCTAAAAAAGCAATGTACTACCATTAATGCCGTTACTTGTAACATGCTACGGCTAATCCTGCACGAACACAGCGGTCAGCATGTGTCTCTGACTAAAAAAAGGAATTAAGGCTCCCGAATTCCTTGCTGCCACTGTAATGGTGGCGCTTGCTTTAACGATTTTCTCTAAGCAGACTAGCGGTTCAGGCTAGTTGGTTTCCAGTTTTGCTAAAGTGGCCTAGCGCAAAGAAAGAATGGAACACAAAAACAATGAAGACGGGCGCTTGCTTTCAGGTGAAGATTTAGTGTTTTCTTGAAACACAGAAAAAGCAGATAGAAGAACGAACAAAACAAGGAGTGCAAAAGAAAATGCAAGAAGACCTCCTTCCAATCGCCGTGTCGCTACGCCGGCGTCTTCCGGAAATGCTTTGAAGAAAGAAGTATCGTTGATGGCACACGGCACCACACACCAAATTCTTTGGGTGGTTTGTGGCTTCCACGATAAGCTCCGCTTTTTCAAATAGGCGCTGCAAAAAATAGAGAAGGAAAAAAAAACGAGAGAAAGAATTATGCACTGCTCATTCAATTGGCATGAGGAAACACATTTTAAGAACGACACTGTTGGTTGCCGCCCATTGTGCAGTATACAATGCTGCTCATAATGAAAACATCGCTGCTGGAGTTCAAAATGGCAGTATAGCAGTGTTGGGAAGCTCAAGCAGGTAATCATTCAAACACATTCGAGTTCTGCCTGAAGGTGCACAATGGAATGCGCGTAGCAAAGCGACTAGCTCACCTTCAGGAAGGTACGAGTCAGTTTCACCCTCAGCAGAAATGTAGAAATGGTGAGTGCATATCTCGCCGCGAACTGCCAAGATCAGAGCAGAAAAAAAAATGGTTCCCATTCTAAACATGTCTTGCCTCATTTCAGAAAAAAAAGTAACCAGATACCTGTGTCCTGGATAGTATCGAGATAGGGGCAATACATTGTAAAGTATTTCACTACTGAGGTACAAATACATTTTTGAAAAGTATCTTAATACAGCTACTCAAAAGTATCTCTGATGGGGGTGTAGCTCAGTGAGTAGAGCTCTTGCTTTGCGTGTGAAAAGTATCTCTGAAATACTGTCGCGATACTCTTGTATCGCAATACTGCCCAGCCCTGGTTAATACATACACTTGGGTTGGTGCTTTCAAGGCTTAGAACCTTTATCTTGCAGTAAAACCACTTTTACAGGAGGTTACATGTGGACCAATATTATATAGACGTAGTCATTCATTTCTAATACTTCGCAATTTCCAATTGAGGCAAATTGGAATTAGGAATATTTGCACAAGCCTTCACATGGAAGGTTAGAGATTTATATCTGAAAATGGACAGTTTTTTCTTCCTCTTTTCTTTTTTGCTCTTTCAGTGGGCTCATCCAGAAGAGTCTCTGATAACGAATGCCAGGCAGCCGTCATTGATTGATGGGAATTTCAGCTGTATATCACCATCGGTGGCATTTGGCCATGAAGAGCTGGTAAGTTGCATTGTTTTGTGAGTACTACTTGAAACTGTGCACTCTTACCAGGTGGAAATTACACTTGCCCTAACTTTGTTGAACTTACCCATAAATGTCCTCCAGCTAAAGTTGAAACGCAGTGCACACTGCTTCTGCTTTTTTTTTTGCCCTCGTCTTTTTGCACAGCGTGCATTGCTAGGTCAGTGAATGGTAAGGTGCAGACGCAAGTGTTTCGCGGTGTTCAGGAGTGCAACACCTGCACCAATTTGATTCAATTGCCCTTTTTTGCGCTGAGCTGCATCAAAACCATGAAATTCGCCGGAATTGTGCCACACTGCACCAAAATGCCCGACCAGCCTCTAAACTTTCTCAGTTGTGCTACTTTCAGCGAGATGTGGAGGCCACGTTGGCCATCTATACTTTGCGTCGTCATTCAGCCCAGGGATCCAGGTGCATACACTCTAACCTTAAACTAGTTTACTAGGATAGGGGAGTGCCTGGAACGACTATAGCACCAATGCACAGAAAGTGCAGGCCAAACAGAGTCAATCTGCATGCGGAACTTCGGTTGGTAGTCTGTGATTTGTCATTGCTTTAAGAGATGCGTGCGGCTTTGCTGAGGTAGTAGAGGGGCAGAATTCCCGCTTCCCACTCAAAATACCCAAGAGCTGTAGGTAGTAGATTTGTATTCTTAGTGTCACTTGTACTGCTGTGTTGGTTTCCTTTTTTGAGCTTCAGTTGCTACATATTTCTACCAAAAATTCCATGAAATATGAATTAAAAAAATGTTTGACAGCAAGTGTACTCATTTGCAGTGCCACTGCATGGGATTTGGTAAAAACTTCATATTTCACGTAACTTTTCGTAGCAATGCATAGCAACTGAAGCTAGATTTAGAAAGAAAAAAAGCAAGCCAATACAGCTGTACAAGTTACACAAACAATAAAAATCAACCGTCTACTGCTGCGATTCGAACTTGCATCTTTCGAGTGGGAAGTGTGGGGAACTACCCCTGGACCATTTTTGCTGAAAACCACAAAAGATAATTTTCTAAAGCGAAACCTCAAAGTATGTCGCTATATCGCACTACTCATGTAAAGTATGTACTATGTAGATAGAGACTCTCCCGGTACAGCGGTCTAGCAGTGAGCACCTCATCCAAACTTTATTGTTAGCAGCAATTTCGTAATGCTTTTCTAACTTTTGCTCACAAATCTTGTGTAAAAATTGAATATTTAATATAAAGACAATATCCGAGCTTCGGAGAGTCAAGCGGGCTTCACGGCAATCACCGAATGTGTTCTAGAGAACTTGGCCACACACTAAAACGCTGGATAACTGGGAGGCATTAAAGCAACTATTTCGCAATGAGCTGTGCTGATTTTACTGCTTGAGCAGGATATAAACGCATGCATTCATCGTTTAAGAGTGTGCAACTTTTCAGAACAGTCTGAAAAATCGCACGTAGGCTGTTGATTTACGTTGCAGAAGTTCTTATACTAAAATTCCTGTGCAAATCAAAATGTTTGAAAGTTCGAATGTTCACATATTTCTAGTTTCACGTTAGTGACAACATTCAAATGTTCTAATTGGTTTCGTGCGACAAGTCCTAACGCTTTCCTTACTGCACGAAAACGGTTGCTTTTCATATGTCTCGGGAAATTGTTTTTGCCAGTTAGAAAAGTGCTCCAGCATGCATTGCAGCATACCAAACTTCGCACAGTGAAATGCTGTTTTCGAAAAATATATGTTGTAGAACAACAAAATACTTTAGAATGAATAAAAATGTGAGAAGTGTGTAATTTTTGGTCATTACATGGTAAACAGTGCAAAAAAACACTATATATGCAAAAATATTCAAAACAAAGGAAATTTTGAATATAGGTTTTGTAGGTAGAATGGCCCAGGAAAAATAGTCAATGTTGTACAATATGTTTCTCTTCACGTAAACAAAGAAAACCAGAACCAAGGTGTCGCTCCATCGCTCACTCGTGCAATGCAGTTAAATATTGCATTGATTGATTGATTGATTGATTAAAACTTTATTTTTGTCCTGAGAAGACGCAGGGGAGACCCCGCGCCACCCGGCTAATCCCACGTTGGGACCGTCAAGCCGAGCTTGGCGGCTCGTTCACGGGCACTCTGGATGGCCAGGGTTTGATCCTTAAGTTCGGGGCTGCGTAAAAGCGCAGCCCACCTGTCCTCACTGAGGGCGGGGCCGATGGCTTCACATTCCCACAACAAATGATTGAATGTGGCTAACAGTCCACAAACGGGGCAATCTGCACTTGGATACCGTTCAGGGTAGATGGCATGAAGAACCAGAGGGTTAAAATACGCACTGGCTTGCAATAGTCTTAGGGTGCCTGCCTGCGCCCTGCACAAGGCCGGGTGTGGGAGAGGGAATACCCTTCTTGACAGATAGAAGTGCTTTGTTATTTCGTTGAACGTAAGTAAGGGTTCCCAGCGAGGCAGAGGGACTGTGGAGGCAGCGCGGTCAGTGAGTCCTCGCGCGGCCTCGTGTGCGCCCTCGTTCGGGTTAGAGGTAGGGCCCTCAATCGACCCCAGGTGAGCGGGAAACCAAGTGAGAGAATGGGGCGTGATACTCTTGACGCTTTGGAGAATGCGGAGGACCTGAGGGGCTACCATCCCGGTTTCGTAGGCTTTGATAGCCGTCTTGGAGTCGCTGTATATTGACTCTCTGCGACTATCTAGCATAGCCAGCGCGATTGCAACCTGTTCGGCTATCACGGGCTTCGATGTGCGTACTGTGGCGGAGCAAGTGAGCCTGGAATTTGAGTCGACGATGGAAACAGCGAATGCCTCTTGTTGGACATATGGCGCAGCATCCACAAAGCTTGCATCAGTCGGGTTGCTACGGACGTGCTCGAGCAGAGCTCTACCCCTGGCCCTACGCCGACCGACGTTGTGCGCAGGGTGCATATTGCGGGGAATGGGTGCGATGCGCAGCTGAGACCTGATGTTTCTGGGAATCTGCATGGAATCGGGGCACTGGTCAATAGAGTTGAGGCCCAAATCATCGAGTATCTTGCGGCCCGATTTGGTTTCGGAAAGCCTGAGCAGCTGTGAGCGCTCTTGCGCCTCGATTATCTCTTCGAGTGTATTGTGAACACCGAGCTTGAAAAGGTTTTCAGTGCTAGTGCTTACAGGCAAGCCGAGCGCGAGCTTGAAAACCTTTCTTATGAGGGAATTGAGCTTACTTCTTTCTGCAACATGCCAATTATACATGGCCGCCGAGTACGAAAGGTGGCAGAGCACAAACGCATGTATGATGCGGATGAGATTGTCTTCCTTGATTTTGCAGTGTCTGTTGGTGATCCTCCGGATGAGGCCGAGAGCACTTTCCGTCTTGGTAGTGATCTGTCTCAGTGCAGCTCCGTTAGCGCCGTTGGACTCGATATACATTCCCAATATTTGGAGCGAATCCACCCTTGGGACGGGGGACCCGTCACTAGTGAAAAGCCGTATTTCACTTCGAGACGCAGGTTTCCAGTCATGGTGGCCGCCGCCTCGGGGTCTTTTCTTGTAGAGCAGAAGTTCAAATTTCGATGGGGAGCACTTGAGACCGGTGGGACGGAGGAAACGTTCGGTCACGTCGATTGCGTGCTGCATGGCTTCCTCAACTTGACCGTCGCTCCCGCCGGTGCACCAGATGGTTATATCATCTGCGTAGATGGTATGATTGATTCCTTGAATCTTCGCGAGTTCCTTGGAGAGCCCGATCATCACGATGTTAAATAGTGTTGGTGAAATAACTGAGCCCTGAGGCGTGCCGCGTGAACTGAGGTTGATCTCTCGTGAGAAGTACCCTTCGATCTTGAGCTTGGTAGTTCTCTGGTAAAGAAAAGATCTCACGAAGTCGTAGACCCTCTTCCCTAGCCCTAGGCTGGCAATAGACTGGAGAATTAATTCGTGAGAAACGTTGTCAAAAGCCTTCTCCAGGTCTAATCCAGGGATGGCTCTGGTATCTCCTGTGCTCCGGTCGACGATCTGATGCTTTATCAGCTTCATGGCATCCTGTGTCGAGAGACCAGCTCTGAAACCAATCATATTGTGGGTGTACATGTCATTGGTCTCGAGGTGCACCTTGAGTTGGTTCAGAAGGGCGTGCTCTGCGACCTTACCGACACAGGAAGTTAAGGAAATCGGTCTTAGATTATCTATTCCTGGTGCTTTACCAGGTTTCAGGATTAGAACTGTGTAGGCCGTCTTCCATTGTGCGGGAACCTCCCCACTGCGCCACACCTCATTAATCTTTTCCGTAAGGAATTCGATGGAGTCATCATCAAGGTTCTTGAGCATCTTATTGGTTATGCCATCAGGGCCAGGGGCGGATTTGGCATATTTAGGGAAAAGAGAGCCTGCCGTATCTCGGCCACAGTATAGTCCTGGTCCAACTCCGGCACGTCGCACCCCGCGTAGTCCGGGAACTGTATGGGTGCAGAGCTATCCGCGACTCGCAGATACCTGTCTATAAGCTTGTTGACAACCAATTCGTCCGGGGTAGAGTAAGTAGCAAGATGGATGGCTTGCGCGAGGGATCGCCTCTGACTGGACCTGGTGCTGCCCTGATCGAGAAGGTGTTTGAGAAGACCCCAGCTCTTCCCAGATCTGAGCTGACCCTCGATGCTCTCACAGAGCTCATGCCATTGTTGTTTACACAAGGTTTTGCAGTGCTCCTCGATCACCCTGTTAACCTCGAAAACCTTCTTGCGGAGCCTCCTGTTATGCTTCTGTCCCTTCCACCTCGTGAGTAGGGCTTGCTTGGCGTCTAGTAGGTGTGCCAACCTGCTGTCCATGTTTTCAACATCGAGGTCAGTGACGACCTCCTTGGTCGCTGCCGTGGCGTCATCTCTGATTCCTTTGTACCATCCTTCAAAGTCTGTCCCAGCCGTCGGTGCTCTCTCAGCTCTGACTTCGCGAAAAGCGTCCCAGTCGACCACCTTGAATTTTTTCGTCCTAAAGCGGGCAATCGCGAAGGATACCTTGATGATGTAGTGGTCACTTCCGATGTCTAGAGCCGTGTTGACCCATTTGACCCCATCTATATTCTTCACAAAAGTCAGGTCCTGGGTGGTATCCCTACATATGGAGTTACCTCTCCTAGTGGGGAAATCCTTGTCAGTTATAAGCGTCAAGTCGGCTTCTGTCGCAGTCTGCCATAGCTCGCGTCCTTTTGGGGTATC